ATGTATAACAGGGCCAGGATTGTTCGTGCAAGCGAGCGATGTATAACAGGGCCAGGATTGTTCGTGCAGGCAAGCGATGTATAACAGGGCCAGGATTGTTCGTGCAGGCGAGCGATGTATAACAGGGTTAAGATTGCTAGAGATTGCTTAATATTTCACGCGGGTGGACAGCTTCTGTTGCGACGCGAACACTGGCAAAAATTATTGGATCAAACTGTCCAAATAGTAGCACACTTTATTCTCTACAGCAGGAGCGGAGAGCAAACGTAGCAATAATATGAAATTTTGTCTGGCCATGCAGCGTCAAGATGACCTACGCATGGACGAGAAAGGCATCGTCCTTTAGACAAAGTCCCACTTATTCCTCTGAGTGAGCTGCTCTGTTGGACTGGACAAGCGTGGCCGGACAAGCAAATATTGCAGAGGCAAGTCAGCCTCTGGAATTATGTTACTGTCATCCTATTGTATCACTCAGAGATATGAGTAAGACTTTGTCCAAATAGCAATGCATGTAATTTTTCTATTTTGAACCTAGTTTGGTCCGGCAGGCGTATAAGTGTTTCATGCAATCAATATTTGTAAATATTATCCATTTTTTTTTGAAAGTATGAGTTAAGAATTTATTCTACTTTAATAAAAAATAAAATATTGAAATATTCTGGATAAAAATACTAAGGATTGCTGAAAGGTTGCCGCAAAAATTGCTGTTTATCAAGCGTTATTTTCTCTGCAAATTCGCTGTTATGATTTATATTCATTCCCGTTACTTCTTGCATAATTCTTTACATAGTCAGTTCTTCATCAGAATTCATACAAGACCGTAGTCTTATCAAGTAGTTCAGTTAAACTGCCGTTGAATAATTTAAGTTGAGAGTTTAGATTCGTGGCTGGCTTAGCAAAGAGTCAACTAACGGCTGGAACGTGAGATAAGGCTTCTCCTTGAGTTGGGTCAATGTTGGCCAGAAAATCTACTGCAGAATACTTCGAGAGAAATTATTACAGTTACTTCCTACGTATGTATTCACACAGTCCTCCTGTGTAGGCCGCCATAGGATCAACCATCGCTGGTATTGCGCCCACGGCTTTGTATAGGTCGTGTATGTCTTTGTGGGCCTGTGTAGGTGTGTGTAAGCCTATGTAGGTCTGTGTAGGTCTGATGCTGTGTTTTCTGCATTGGCTCCTGCGACGCTTATATTGCACGGAACGGTAATTTCTCTCAGTCTTCGGTTCTTGTTCTTTATCACTTTACATCATTTATTAATTGGTTATTCATAAAACCTTGCCACGATGTATCATGTTATAAACCATGTCACGATGTGTCAGGTTGTCTTTTAACTTCTAACAAAGAACATACTTCATTTCGTCTTTTAAAATAGCCAGATAAGAATTTAAAAGTTTTTTGGTAATGAAAACAGTAATTTTAATTGTTTTATTAATTCAAATGTACATCAAACATCATAGATATTGCATCGAACGTTAATATAAAAACTTCTAGCACAAAGGGTTGATATGAACGTCGAAACAGCCTTTGTATATCAGGGTGAATACACTAATTGACATAAATACACATTATTTGTTGTAAACAATAATACACTAATTGACATAACCACACAATACTTGTTATAAACAATAATATACTAATTGACACAACCACACAATATTTGTTGTAAACAATAATACACTAATCGTATTTTTCTAACTCACAACATGTACGTAACTGGTATCACCATCTAGATATCGGTAAAAATGTCACTATAGGTTCAAGTAGCTTCCAACCAACACTTTGAAATAACGACGTTTATAATGGGAATTTGAATAACATTGAAGTGCATTTGAAACATATTCCCTGTATTCCAAGCTCAATAAAAACTTTTCACATTAATATAAAATAACTTCAATTTATTTCCCTTATTTTCCATTGTATTATATACACGGCAATTTTTCACCATAAAACTGCTAGGTATCACAAATACACGCGGCGACGTTGCTTGGGTAATTGTACATCGGCAGGACCCTGGTGTAGTTAATTAGTTGGGTACTCATTCAGTACGCACAATTGGGTTCATTTAAAAATAATTAATATTCAATCAATAATGATACAATTGTGTCAATTTGTCTATTTATATTACAATTGTGTCAATTTGTTTATTTATTTATCAATTGTATCAATTTCTTTATTTATTATTCGTTTATTTGTGTGCGTTCATGGGTCACGAAAAGTAAGGGACCGAGGAATTCAATTATATAAATTTTATTTGAGAACTTTGATCAATTTACCGAATTCATCTTAGCATGGAAAATCGAAGTGCTTCGTCTTTATTGAAGTTTGGAGAATCAAGTTCCGTTCCTCACCAGCTGTAACGACTTAATTGAAGTCTAACACTTAACCACATTTACATCAAGTTGAGCGACAGTACGCGAAGTGATGTCGAACTTCTCATCAAATATTTCGAATAATTTCAATAGAAGTTCGATGAGGGCAAGACTAGAATGAAATCAATCCTAATGAGGGATGGTTTTTGGAATGAAGTTGTTGCACTAACCTATTCATATTCACGATCTCCAAGACGTCTCTCAGTCGGTAAAATTTCAAACGATTGAGGGAAATTTTGTTTTAACTGCTTTAGGTTTCATCAGCACTTGTTCAGTAAGGAGGTCTTGGAAACTCACATTTAATTTGGTAGCCACGACCAACTTCTGCAGCTAAATGGTCAAGGTTGGGCGTTAATTCCGCTTGGCACTTTGCAGGCGAGAAGCGAGTTTAAACTCGCTTTTCGCAAGGCGCAAGAGTTAGAAATTTACGTCACTTGTACATTCGCAAGCCGATGATCGAAAGCACCTTGTAATTAGACCATTAATTGTGTGCAAATGTCATCCCTTTATTTTGAGGAAATTGGTGGATAGTGAGCTGCATCACTGCTAAATATTAGACTGGCTGTGCGAGAGTTTCTAGTAATTTTATAATTAAAGTCGGTGAAATAATTTAGCGACTTCCAATTTCAATTAACGATACACTTTTTCGATTGGAAACTTACACGTATGTGAAAACAAGTATTTAGCAACGATAGCTGGCAAGTTAGGGGAATGAAGAAGAGATTCATTATTGATTTCGTAAGGAACGATAAGCGCCCTATAATTATTATGGGTCATGACAGGTTAGCGCGGACATTGTTGACAGCGTCCTGCAGTAGTGGCAGGGCTAGGAGCTACAGAACGGCACACATTCAAGTTTATAATAATAAGTCAAAAAACTAATTTACACGCATTATTTAATGAGCTTTATTTCACAGCAATATGCGTACCGTAACAATTATGTCCATACATGATGATGGGCTAAGTATACAGGATACATGTCACTAGTTTAATTTAGCTATGAATCGATAAATATTATGCTGCTTTGATAACAATTGATTGCAATTCCTTCAATATAATAATAATAACAATAAAAATAATAATAATAATAATAATAATAATAATAATAATAATAATCATAACAATAAGAATAACAAATATTAATAATAGAATAATTAATATTAGAGTAAGAGCTAATGCGAAAACATAAAACCTCTCACTTCAGTTAAATATGATAATTTTAATTATAGAGTCAGCGTTACCCTGAAAACTAAAAATCGTCTCTCTGTGCGACATTCAAATTTCTAAAAAATTACCGATGAATAATCAGTGTTGTGCTCACCGGTACTGAGGAATGCGTACAGCAGGATGCTCACTGCACAACGTCTCCAGCGACGTCGCTGCGGGACGCTCACTGCACGATGTCTCCAGCGACGTCGCGTGTTCCACCGGCTTCCTGGCCAGCACGAATCCTCTCCGCGCTGTGCTCAGGCTTGACAACGAACACAGCTCTCTTGCTTCGGGATGTTGATGTCTGCTGTTACTATTTTTTGAAGATGTTTGGGCTTCACAGAAGCGAAACGACGCTCGGTTCGAGAAATCGGGAACGTCGCCCGCGCGCCCGAACAGCGAACCAGGTTTGTGGCCCTTGCTGTAGGTGGCGCTGGAGTGCGCTAGGTGAGTGTGCGCGGTGCTGGACCGCAGCGTCAGCTGGACCTGTTGGGGAAAAATTTGAAGAGTTTTTAGAAATATTCATATTAAAAAATTATTTAGTTTTGTTTTAATATGTACCATTTGATTTGAAAACATCTTAGCCTTATAGAAAATACAACAAGGAAAAAATAATACCTTACCTAATACCTTACCTTACCTAATAGCAAGCATATTTTGCTATCTCTATAGGATAACGTGATGCAACCGCGTCTGTTTTGATATCGCGATGCAATCGCTTTCTTTTATCACGATTGCGTGATGTAATCGCTGCTCGAAGATAACGTGATGCAATCGCTTCTGTTATGATAACGTGATGCAATGGCTTCTGTTTTGATAACGTGATTCAACTGCTTCTGTTATGATAGCGTGATGCAATCGCTCATGTTATGATAACGTGAGATAATCGATTCTGTTATGATAACGTGACGCAAAGGCTTCTGTTATGAAAACGCTATGTAATCTCTTTTGTTGGGACAGCATGATGCAATATCTTCTGTTATGATAACGTGATGCAATCGCCTCTGTTATGATAACGTGATGTAATCGCTTCTGTTATGATAACGCGATGCAATCGCTTCTGTTATGATAAAGTGATTCAATCGTCTCTGTTATGATAACGTGATGCAATCTCTTCTGTTATGATAACACGATGCAATCGCTTCTTTTATGATAACGTGATGCAATCGCCTCTGTTATGAGTGCGTGATGCAATCGCTTCTGTTATGATAACGTGATGCAATCGCCTCTGTTATGTTTTTTAATTTTAAATTTTTCATCTCTGATTCCTGGAAGTTTCAAAATTTATTCACAATTATGCAGCTATGGCCGCAGAAAAATTTTTTTATTTGAAAGCTGGCGACTGTTATATGAAAATCATTCCCTTTTTTCGTTTGGATGGTTGAGTATTATTTACCAATAAATAATTTATTACATTTTTTTAGATACGAGTAATTTCTGGCTTACAAAAGTAATTTGTTGTGGTGTGTAGAAAATACGCCCAAATGAATCTATGCCTCTCCAGGTTAGATTTTTTGAAAGTTAAAAATGCACGACAATAAATATTGTAACGTCTACAATAGTTACTGAGTTGAATTCTATTAATATTATGTCGAATTCATGAGAATAGAAAGTTTTCGAAACATCACTCTGGTATGGCGGAATACGACTTAAAACTGCTACACTTGGCACTCCTCAGATAATCATGGTGTTCAGAAATTTCCAGTCTACAGGCTAAAATCGGGCGTCTTCTGCTTGCAGAAGTTGAAGATGCCGTACACTAGGCCTCACCTTAGGCTTCTGCTTGCAGAAGTTGAAGATGCCGTATACCAGGCCTCACCTTAGGCTTCTTCTGCTTGCAGAAGTTGAAGATGCCGTAGACTAGGCCTCATGCACCTTAGGCTTCTGTTTGCAGAAGTTGAAGATGCCGTACACTAGGGCTCACCTTAGGCTTCTGTTTGCAGAAGTTGAAGATGCCGTACACTAGGCCTCACCTTAGGCTTCTGCTTGCAGAAGTTGAAGATGCCTCACCTTAGGCTTCTGTTTGCAGAAGTTGAAGATGCCGTACACTAGGCCTCACCTTAGGCTTCTGCTTGCAGAAGTTGAAGATGCCGTACACTAGGGCTCACCTTAGGCTTCTGCTTGCAGAAGTTGAAGATGCCGTACACTAGGGGGTTGGCGCACGAGATTGCACAGGCGAATACGAACAAAGTCTTCTGCACGCGCTGGTCCAGCCTTTTTGCCGCTTCGGGAGCGAAGCAAAACCTAATCCCACGAAATTTTACATCTTATTATTGATTGATCTAATTTTAACACGAAATTTCATCACACTATAATCATCCACGAAATTTTGAGCAAAAGTATCAAGTATTACGTTGCGATAATGGAACGTGAGAAAAAACTTTTCAGGTTGCATTGGGCGTAATGAATTTTCAACCAATACTGCTGGTGAAAATTCTTGTTATGCACTAATACCAAGTTCTCCTAATGCAAGAACTACAAAAAGACTGAAGACAGAAACCTATTCCCACGGCATAACTACTGCCTCAAGATTCAGTCCCAGATAACACATTGGCATAACTCTTCAACCAATGGATATTCATTCACTTGTTAATGCTAGTTTATGTTCAAAGTAATATTCGAACATTACTTTCGAGTTTGACTATTGTATGAAGTACATAATAGAGTTCATAGTACACTAAAGCATTATGATTATCACAAAATAATTTACCCAAATGATGTAACTAAAATTGAGATAACCAAATACTGCAACAGCTCGCACTCTAACGAGGCTAAATGTGACATGTTACCACCGAGCACCGCACCAACACCCATCATCGCACCACACCGCAAAACCACCCAGCACCACACTGCACCACCACCCACCACCTCACCACACCGCACTACCACCCATCTCCGCACCACAAGCTGATGATGACGTATGGTGTCCAGCAGATGAAGAAGGCAGCGACGATGCTGCCGGTCATCTTGATGGTGCGCGCCTTCGCCTTGCCGAGGTAGCCGATGCCGGATCTCCTGATCACGCTCTCTGGCCGCAGTGAATTAAAGCAACGTGTTATGTAGTGTTCTGAGATGCAATAAATTAGGATGCAAGTGTTATGTAGTGTTCTGAGATGCAAGAAATTAGGATGCAAGTGTTATGTAGTGTTCTGAGATGCAATAAATTAAGATTAAAGTGTTATGTAGTGTTCTGAGGCACAATAAATTAGGATGAAAGTGTTATGTAGTGTTGAGAAGCGCAATAGATTAGGATGAAATTGTTTTGTAGTATTTTGAGACGAATAAATTAGGATGAAAGTATTATGTAGTGTTCTGAGGCGCAATAAATTAGGATGAAAGTGTTATGTAGTGTTCTGAGGCGCAATAAATTAGGATAAAAGTGTTATGTAGTGTTCTGAGGCGCAATAAATTGGTATGAAAGTGTCATGTAGTGTTCTCAGACGAATAAATTAGAATAAAAGTGTTTTGTAGTGTTCTGAGGCGCAATAAATTAGGATGAAAGTGTTATGTAGTGTTTTGCAGTGCAATAAATTGAGATGAAAGTGTCGTGTAGTTTTCTGGTAATACTGAGCCTCGAACATGTGTTGAACACCTAAAATTGTGTTCGGACCATCACATTGTGTTCGGAACATCACATTGTGTTCGGAACATCACATTGTGTTCGGAACATCACATTGTGTTCGGACCATCGCATTGCGTTCGGACCATCACATTGTGTTCCGACCACCAAATACTGTGTTCGGACCATCACATATTGTGTTCGGACCATCACATTGTGTTCGGACCATCACATTGTGTTCGGACCATCACATTGTGTTCGGACCATCACATTGTGTTCGGACCATCACATTGTGTTCGGTCAACACATTGTGTTCGGACCATCACATTGTGTTCAGACCATCACAGATTCGACAATGCAAATTTCTCTGAATTTTAAATAGTTGTATTTATTCTCATATCAGTTTTACTGAATAGGTAACAGCATAATTAGTTTTATTTAATCTTTTGTATTGGTAAAGGTTATTGAAAAATTAACAATGGGCCAATAAAGGCCATCGAATAGACATAGAAATGAAGTGAAGGCTCTGGATGTTGTGCAAGGATGCTCTGAAATTTACCGCCGTGCTTGGAATAAACCACGTGCTTCATGCACGTGGTTCATATTGCACGACATCGATTGAAATGACAATTAGAAAGCCGTAGGTGCTCAAGATTAGAATTACCGTTAGACAGATAAGGACTAAATCAGGAGTAGTTGATTATTATTTCACTCAATATTTGATATGAGACTTAATTAAGGCTCATTACAAATATTGAGTAAAATTATGATTAAATAGTCGTGCGTTCAGAATGAGCATCACCATTAAGCAGGTAAGGACCAAATCAGGCAGTTAATGTTCATTACAAATATTGAGTAAAATTATAATTAAATAGTCGTCCGTTCATGATAAGAATCAGCATTAAGCAGATAAGGACCAAGTAAGGCAGTTAAGGCTCATTGCTCTGCTTTATCATCACGGATCTTTTCTGCGGACGGAAATTCAATGACGCTAAAGTCCCCATGAAAAATTTCTTTCTTAATTATATCTTTTGTCAGATTCTATCACCCAGGTTTTCGTGAACTAAGTCCCATGGTCTATTCTGTGAGCGAGTTCAACTATTTTATGGTAGAGAAATAGTACTTTGATTAAAGGTCCCGTTGAGCAGAGCCGTTTTTTTGCAATTCTTTAAGCTATATTTGATTTAGGCACTTTTTTAGTTATTTTGTAAAGGATAAACCCTCTAACTTTTTGGTAGCGCGGGAAACAATTAATTTTTTTAGCACTTAAAGAATTTAAATTCGGACTGGACTGAAATATTTTTTCACCTCCACTGCGAATTGTAGGGGCATAATATTGGTATTCAAACGGAAGGAAAATTTTTTTGAAAGTGAAGATTTGAATTTAAATTTTTGGTATGGGGTTGAAAGTTGATTTACATTCAGACTATGTTGAACTTGATACATAGTGATACATAGCATTGCCGTCGTGTGTGTAAAGTTTGGTGCATTGAATATGATATACGGAAGAAATTAAAATTGTAGACAAAAACGATTTGTATGCAAATTTTTTAGGTCCTTAAGGCCTATTTTACATAAATTTTAAGAATGTTCGAGAAACTTTTTATTAAACACTGGCGAGAAAGCTATCAACAAAAATCTGATACTCTTTACCGCAATTGTTGTTATAAAGATTTTCATTTCATCAAAGCAAACAAGTTGAGTTGATCAATACCTCAACTTTCTGAAATATCCACTTAGCCTAAATTTAACTGCCACCTGACCTCCAAATAAGCACCGAATAATTATCATTTGCAACATTATTTGAGAGAACGCACGGCTTCCGGCGGGCGATTTCTTGAGCTTTTCTGTGATATTTAGGAGGAATTTATCTTCAATGATGATCGACTTAGTGTCTCAACTCAAGTACTTAATGTGTCCAACTTTTCTTGAAAATGGAACGTTTGAAATTATTTAATTTGAAAATTTATCTACCATTTCGTTAGCCCTTGATTGTTTTAGTTTGCGGCAATCAATGAAATGAGTGGCTCAATCATTGTCTGAATAACGATGCAGTTTTTGCAGCTATAGCGGTCATCCAGGCCCAGTTTAGCCCAGTCTGCGTTTGCTCTCTCTCTGCATGATCGAAAAAAACTATGATCGAAAAAAATGCGTCACTATTTCGACAACTTGACCCATTCATTTTTTTTATGCCTGTCACCTGGTTTCATACGTGGGTTCTTCTTTCTGGAAATATACCTGAGAAATTAATTATAGTTTGATTAAATTTTTGATTCTCTCGTAATTGATGACAACGATTTCAATTATTCTACCGCTGTATCAACGTTGCAAACCAATCCACCTGCAAATTAAAACTACTTACTAAATTTTCTAGCACTGGCGCGGTAATAGCTAAATGAGACTAACTTCGATTAGACGATTAGATTAATAGATTTAAACTACTATTACAGCTGTTGTTGGTCAAATTATGTTGGTCATTCGATTAAATAATTCACGTAGCAGGACTCACCATCAGCGGTGAGTTTAGTCTTGCGGACGATAGTGATGACGATGGCACCGTAGGACATGACGATGATGGTGATGGGTGCCACGTATAACATCGTCAGACAGAAGAGGTTGTACACCATCTCATGACGAAGGGACGGGAAGGAGCCGAACGTCACGCACTGACGGTAGTGCCGGTGTACCTCGTGGCTGTCCACGTGGAAGATCAACATCTGGACCACAGCGCAAAAATAATTTAATCTATTGATCTATAAATATTTTAATAAAGAAATAAACACTTTAATAATATATGAATATTATTTTTTTAGCTTTGCGTGCTTATTTGTCGACGAGAAACGTGAAAAAGAATTAAAATGAAAAATAAAATTGTTACGTCCTACGAATTCTCGATGACAGTCACTAACAGGAAATTTTAAAAGCTGCGAGGTAAAGTTATAATTTATCATTTTTCAAAGCGTTACTTTCAATAGGGCGCTGGAATAAAATAGTTTTGATTACAAAGCTATTAACGGTTCCGTTTTATTGTCTAATAAAAGGATTTTATGGTGTTTAGAATAGAGAATTTTCTACCGCGGGCACTGGCGTTGCAAAGTCCACATAATCCAAGATAGCTCCTGACATCATGTGCTGGATTAAAACAAATCAAAAATTATTCCATAAATTATAAATAAATTTTGTAGTCTGGTCGTTCGTTCCGGTTTTTCAGGGTAAACGTTTCACAGATCACAGTTCAAAAGAGTTTATTAGAGTTAGGCAGTTACACGTTACACGCAAAACCATCTCGTGGCAAAACCATCAGCAAAACCATCAGCGGGAGCTCGCTAACTAAACATAATGACAAAGCAAACTTTTATTAAACAGAAATTTAAAACTAAAGATAAATATCGAAAATCATTATTTGATGTACGGCTAGCGTGAGACAGGCTACTACGCAACACAGAAATATTTAATTCTGCCCTACGAAAGCTTGATCATGATCCTCGAAAAAATTTTCAATTGCCCTTGCAATTACCCATCCTAAATTGTCCATGCAATTACTCATCCTATAAATTCCACATGCAAGAAGTGCAAAAGTAGCCAGTTTTGCCCCGCCTGAAAGTAGCGCCCGACCTGTGGCACGGAGCAGCTGCAGGCTAAGAGACACGAATAATTTCCCATGCAATAATCCTTCCTAAATTGCCCATGCAAGAAGTGCAAAAGTTGCCAGTTTTGCGCCGCCTGAAAGTGGCCCCCGACCTGTGGCACGGAGCAGCTGCAGGCCACTGCAGCCAGTGTTCGTAGGCCCATGACAGTAAATTTGCTAACACCGCGTCACGCGCGGATATAATCGAAACTCGCTCACGTGCACGTAGCAGCTGAAGCAAACGCACCAGCCGATTACTCATCAGTGATTGGTTGGTTTAGTTTGAAATGCCGCCAGTGATTGGTTGGCAGAGTTACGAACTAGTAACTATTGTTGATTGTACGGCACCACGTTAGGTGCACCCCTTAACGATAGCCGCCCCCGGATCCAAATTTGCGTGCTCGAAGAAACTGTTACCGGCCGCAGTGGGTCGCAAGAGTTGGCTAAGTTGTAGCACTGGTTGAGTGTGAATAGAACTCGACGAATTAACAGCTCACTGAGTGCACATTAATTTGGTTTTTCGTGCTAGCTGTTGCATAGCGTGACCGAGGCAGGCATTACAATAGAATTCCATTTGCATCTCGTGTGCTTCATTTGTTTACACCGCCCACGTAGAGATTTTCAAATGAGGAGAAATGCTTAAATCCATTCAACTGTCAAAGAATAGTGAAAGGTATTCTTGGTCACTGAATATTGCTGTAATGACATAATGGACGGCGTCTAGGAGAGATCTAGGACGGCGTCTAGACAGATAATGCGTTACCTGTCAATGGAGACGTTACGTGCCATTATAATATAATGCGTTACCTGTCAATGGAGACGTTACGTGCCATTATAATATAATGCGTTACNGTCAGGATATTATGATACCATGACTCTGGGTCAGGATATTATGAAACCACGACTCTCGGTCAGGATATTTTTAAAACATTCACGCTAAACTTTTATTTATTCATTGAGGAATGAAACTGAAAATTGTGCAACGATTTTAACCCATGAAAAATTATTATTGCGTTTGTCATATATACGTCATATATACGAACGTCATTGCGTTCGTCTTCATATAGCTGCTCTACATTAATTTAAGGGCAAAAAAAAGTCATAAAAATTAGGACTTCTTACGATTCCTTACTTGTGAGAAAAATATAATAAAGCAGCATACAGTTACATCAAAGCCATATTTTTCGCTGGGAAGCTAAGGCCTGCACAAGACGCAGCGTTGAGGCGATATTTTGTGAGCTAAACATGCCGATACTCGAGGCTATTGAGCCTACAAATGAGGCGATATTTTGTGAGCTAAACATGCCGATACTCGAGGCTATTGAGCCTACAAATGAGATTTGCCGCGAGCTGCTCCAGGCAATTGCTATGGGCAATAACAGCTGCCATAACAGCGCTTGTGAAGCTCCGGGTGCCATCCACGTATTAGAGCTGTGCATCATTTTACACAAGGGCAAATTTAGGAGATAAATCTTATATTTTGCTGAATTTTAGGCATTAAGTTTCTGACAAACGGGTAGGGGTTTGAAAATATATCTGTTAAAAAATTCACAAAATTGCCAAATTATCTTGAACTTATCGCTGCGCGCACAACTGAACATTTCTGCATAAGCGGCGTAAAATGAAATGAAACCGCTGATTTTCCCTTCAACTTTCAATGGTTAATGATATTTTTTACATTTTTTCAACAAATTTTGGTCTCAATTCACAGGAACGTTCAGTCAAAACTTTCAATCATGACATGACTAATTTCATTGTCTTACTCGCTCATAATCAATGAAAACTCTTCCTTAACATAAAGGTTAAGGCTTTTTATTATTTTAAAACTTTTATAATGTTTTGTTTCGTGAGTAATTAGCAGCTTGTCCGTTGTCCAGGACAGGGAATATATTCAACATGAAAATGTCGTTATTCCGAATCCGATCAGCTGAAATCCCGTCATGACGAATTCCAGCTTCTTGAATCTCATCTCCCCGAATCCAGTTAGTAATTTTGGAGATAATTACGCCAATTAAAGCAAATCCTCTTCCGTCCCACGTTGAGCACGGAACTCACAATAATTCAACTTATTTTTTTTTTTGTCAAGTCTATTAGAAAATTTTATATTTTTCGAATAAAATTGACAAATGTAAAAATTACATTTCAATCTTTTATATCAACTGATACCTTCCATTTTTCAATACGTCGTGATTCCGCCGTCGCATTATAATTTTAGGAAGTACTATAAGTACATCATACGTATCGTACTATGTATGTACGTATTTAAAAGATAAGTATGATATCGTACTTCATAATGAACGATATACAGGGTGTCCCAAAAAAAAACGATACCCAACTTTGAATGGCTGTAACTCGAAAAGTAAAAGAGTTAAAAAATTTTGGAAGGACAGGATTTGTTTCCTATAATTTTCTGCATCTCTCCACCAAAAATCAGACAGATCGATGTAGCCATAAGCGTTTGACAGGACTTTCAATGACATGTGCTAAAATCGTGCTTGCGCAAAGTTTTAGTAAGATCATTTTGCATACTCATTACGTTGTCTTGACATGTTATCTTTTCGCTGTTTGTTTTTAGCGCATTTTCTCATTTATGAAAAAAATGCACTCATGTGCTCGCCATGTCCGTCTGTCCGTCCGTCCTTTTGCCCGTCTGTCTGCCCGTCTGTCTGTCTGTCCGTGACTTCATGTTTTCGTCGGCGAGAAAATGCGCTCTCTGTCACTCGCTGCAGTGAGTACTGAGTTACATTTTTTGTATCTTTGGTGAGACAAAAACATGGCAATCTTTGGTGATAGACAATCATGGCAATCTTTGGTGAGAGAGAATTTCAAAACCAAAGATTCTCTCTCACCAAAGATTTTTTTGTCTCACCAAAGATACAAAAAAATGTAACTCAGTACTCACTGCAGTGAGTGACAAAGAGCGCATTTTCTCGTCGACGAAATCATGAAGTCACGGACGGACAGACAGACGGGCAGAAGGACAGACGGACATGGCGAGCACAACAGTACATTTTTTTCATAAATGAGAAAATGCGCTAAAAACAAACAGCGAAAAGAAAACATGTCAAAACAACGTAATGATTATGCAAAATGATCTTACTAAAACTTTGCGCAAGCACGATTTTAGCACATGTCACTGAAAGTTCTATCAAACGCTTATGGCTACATCGATCTGTCTGACTTTTGGTGGAGAGATGAAGAAAAACATAAGGAACAAATTCTGATCTTTCAAATTTTTTTAACTCTATTACTTTTTGAGTTACAGCCATTCAAAGTTGGGTATTGTTTTTTGGGACACCCTGTATATCGTTTATCATGTGGATACTTCATAATGAAGTATCTGCAATATCCCTAATTGATAATTAAGTATCGTGGGTACCAGCCCTAGGGGCCCCTTTAAATATGCAGCGTCTGGTTAAAAAAAAACACATAAATAAACTGTGAAGAATATCTGAGTTATTAATTGGTGCAAGGTAATCTTATGTATATTTTTCCATGTTTGTGTGTCTGAAGCCTAACACCGCTAATATTTGGGGGCTGTTGGGGCGCGTATCCAGGATACTTATCGTGTCGGGATATTGTATATAGGGGCTGTTGGGGCGCGTATCCAGGATACTTATCGTGTCGGGATATTGCCTGAACCTGAAGTTTTATTCTTGGTGGAATAGGAAAGAAAAGGGGGGAAAAAACTAGATAAAAATGGCTATTTTTCAAATTGGTAAATATAAATGTGATTTAAGAGAAGCAAAATAGTTTGTTTCATATTTCTAATCTAGAGTAAAATGTGAGTAATATATTCTATTTAAAAATGTTAGTTTGAATGATGTTTTGTATAATTAGAATACATATGCCACATTATTATTACGGGATTTAAACACAAAATTCAAATACTTAACAATTATTAATAATCCTGACTACTTACGATAAGGTCAGCGATAGCAAGATGCAGAAGCATGAAGTTGACCCGCGACTTCCTGTGTCGTCGTGAGCCCGCCAAGATGGCACGAAGAACACACATGTTCCCGACCACCCCCACGACCATGATGACGGTGTAGCAGGCGATGAAGATGACAGTGCTGTCGTTGAACTGCATGTCCTCCGGCAGCTCAGTGACATTCACCGGCCCTAGGAGGTCGTGGGTGTTGGAATAGAATTCTGAAGACATCGAGGAGTGTGTTGAGGATAGTGTTGAGAATAGTGTTGATGATAGTGTTGATGATAGTGTTGATGATAGTGTTGAGGATAGTGTTGAGGATAGTGTTGAGGATAGTGTTGAGGATAGTGTTGAGGATAGTGTTGAGGATAGTGTTGAGGATAGTGTTGAATAGTGTTGAGGATAGTGTTGAGGATAGTGTTGAGGATAGTGTTGAGGATAGTGTTGAGGATAGTGTTGAGGATAGTGTTGAGGATAGTGTTGAGGATAGTGTTGAGTTTGGGTTCTCTACGACCGCGTCATCTGCAATGATAGTCTCTTGGTCCTGTGGTGACGTTGGTTGTTGCGGGTGATAAGTGATAGTTACTTGAGATGTGGTGGGTATAAAATAGGGAGAAGTACCCAGAAGGTCTGTTGAAGTGTTCATCGGGTTCTTGATGGTGGAGGTTGATTGAGTAACAATGTTCGAGATCATGCTCAACACAGATGCGGCCATCACAAATGATGGATTGCAGCCATTATTAATGGGAGTCAGATAATATTTATTTTATATTAATATTTAATGGGAGTCAGATAATATGCGAATATTTCACTGTAGGTAGAATATATTTATTTCCGTATACTGAGATTTCTCTGTATTAAAGTCTACGGAGTTCAAAATGATTAATGATGATCATAATTTTTTTGGGATATTGATGATTTGCTGGCACAAACTGTAAAATCTTAAAAAAAATATCTGAGGAAACAATATTCCATAATTCCTGATCAATATTGAAATGCTAATTCGCGGAAGTTTCTTATCATAATTAAGTTGTAAATGTCCGTTGTTTGTATCGTTATAGTGGTTATTGTTACCATGAAT